CAGTTTATTTGGTTCTTTGATTTCATTCATCAGAGTTTTGTGCTTTTCCTCATATAGATCTTGTATATATTTTGCTAAATTTATACCTAAACATAAAGCTATGACCAACCTAGACATCATATTAAAAAGCAGAGACATCACTTTGCTGACAAAGGTCTGTCTAGTCAAAGCTATGGTTTTTCCAGTAGTCATGTATGGATGTGAGAGTTGGACTATAAAGAAAGCTGAGCACCAAAGAATTTATGCTTTTGAACTGTGGTGTTGGAGAAGACTCCTTAGAATCCCTTGGATTGCAAGGAGATCCAACCAGTCCATCCTAAAAGAAATCAGTCCTAAATATTCATTGGAAGAACTGATGCTGAAGCTGAAACTCATGTTTTGGCCATGTGATGCGAAGAACTGACTCACTAGAAAAGACTCTGATGCTGGAAAAGATTGAAGGCAGGAGAAGGGGACGACAGAGGATGAGATGGTTGGATGGCATCACTGACTCAATGGACGTGAGTTTGAGCAAGCTCCGGAAGCTGGTGATCGACAGGAGAGCCTGGGGTGCTGCAGTCCATGGGGTTGCAGAGTCAGACACGACTAAGCAACTGAACTGATACCTAAACATTTCATTTTGGGGGATGCTAATGTAAATCGTGTTCAGTTGTTCATTGCTGGTACATAGGAAAGCAGCTGACTTATATGTTAACCTTGTATCCTGCAAGCTTTCTCTAATTGCTTATTAGTTCCAGGATTCTTTTATTATTCTCTCAGGTTTTCTATACTGTCAATCTTGTCAGCTGCAAACAAAGACAGTTTTTATCTTCCTTTTCAAACTCTATAGCTTTTATTTCCTTTTCTTGTTTTATTGCATTAGCTAAAACTTCCACTATAAAGTTGAAAAGGAGTGGTTAGAAGGAAAATCTTTGCCTTGCCCCTAATCTTAATAGGAAAGTTGTAAGCTTCTCACCAAGAAGTTTGATGTTAGCTGTAGGGCTTTTTGTTAATAATCTTTCTCAAGTTGAGGATGTTTCCCTATATTCCAACTTTCCTAAGAATTTTTATCATAAATAGGTGCTGGATTTTGTCAAATGCTTTTTCTGCATCTATTGATATAATCATATGATTTTTCTTATTTTAGACTGTTGATGTGATGGAGCACATTTAATAGATTTTCAAATACTGAACCAGCCTTGCAAACCTTGGATAAACCCCACTTGGTTGTGATTCATATAGTTCTTTTTATACATTGTTAAATTTGATTTGCTCATATTTATTTTATAGCTGAAGAATGCTTCATTCTATGGATGACTGTTTATTCATTCATCAGTAGATAGACATTTGAGCTGTTTCTACTTTCTGCTCTAATGAGTAACACTTCAGTGAACATTTATGCAAAGGTTTTTATGTGGACACAAGTTTTCAATTTTCTTGGGGATATACCTAGTGGTGGAATTGCTGGACCAAATGGTAACTCTGTATTTAATTTTTTGAGGAGCTGCCAGACTATTTTACAAAGTAGCTCCATCATTTTATAGTCCAACCAGAAATGTATGAGGGTTCCAATCTCTCTACATCCTTGCAGACAATTATTTTTGATTATGGCTATCCTAGCATGAAATGGTATCTCATGGTGGTTTTAAATTGCATTTCCCTAAAGACTGATGTTAAGCATCTTGTCCTGTTCTTATTACGGTTCATTTGTGTATCTTATTTGGAAAAAATGTCTATTCAGAAACTTGGCCCATTTTTAAACTAGGCTATTTATTTTTTATATTGAGTTCTGAGTTCTTTATATATTCTGAATATAAGTCACTTATTAAGTATATGATTTGCAAATATCTTCTCCCATTCCATGGGTAGTCTTTTCAGTTTCTTGGTGGTACCCCTTTGAGTCAAGAAAGGTTTAATTTTCNATTAATTTTTTTTTTTTTTTTTTGGCTTGTGCTTTTGGTATTGTCTCGAAAACTCAAAGTTGCAAAGATTTACTTCTGTTTTCTTCTAAGAGATTTATAGTTGTGGTCTACACATTTTAATTATCATAATAAACCATTTTGAGATAATTTTTGTATGGTGTGAGGTAGGGATCTAAATTCATTTTTATGTATGTGAACATCCAGCTGTCTCAGCATCATTTGTTGAAAGACTGCTTTCCCCTCCCCCCGCTGAGTTGTCTTGATCAAATGGTTATTAGGTTGAACTAGGCTTGCATTCCTGGGATAAATCCCACTTGGTGGTATATAAGCCTTTTCATATGTTGCTGAACTCAGTTTGAGTTTGTTGAGAATTTTTGTATTTGTATTCATAAAGGATATTGGTCCATGGTTTTCCTGAGGTATCTTTGTCTGGTTCTGGTATCAGAGTAATACTGGTCTCAACAGAAAGAGTTAGGAAGTGTTCCTCCTCTTACATTTTTTGAAGGAGTAGGAAGTTTTTTTGAGTACTAACTCAATCTTTTTTTACTTGTTTTACATCTATTTAGTTTTTAAAATTTCTTCTTGAGTCAGGTTTAGTAGTTTGTATCTTTCTAGGAGACAGTACATTTCATCTAGGTTAACCAATCCATTGACATATAATCGTTTATAACACTCCGTCAACATCCTTTTTATTTCTATAAGGCTGGCAGTGATATCCCCTCTGAATGAAGCAACTTTTAAATGGTCTGAGATTAACAATCATAGAATCTTGAAATTACTAAAACTAAAATTGAAGATAAGTCTATTGGATTCTAACAATTCTGAATTTTAAGAAATTTTGAGTTACAGGACATATAAGCTAAATATCCTACCAGTTCTCACCTCTGGAAAGAAAAAAATAGAGGCAAAAATACAGAACCCAACACATTTCTAGTTAAACTACACCAAAGTCAGTTCAACTGAAATACACAGGAAACAGTTCCTGGCTAAATTTTCACATTCTAAGTACACCATTCAATAGAAATTCAATATTCTAAAGCAACTGCACTCACAGGAACACATACATGCATGCACTATAATACATCCAATATGAGAAATCCCTAATGCATTAACAATGTAAGTGAATCAGGCAATAAACTCTCTCAAATAAATAACTTTTTGAACAGAGACTAACTCAGTCCATTTATGTTTTGAGTTTAGGGCCATCGGAATTCTGTATACTATGCTTTCTGAAATCACAGCACACATATTACTAGCCACATAATTTTTACATACTCCATAACCAAAAACCAACTTCCCAGAAAGTCGTAAGAAGTGTTCAGATATTAATAAAAGATTCATAAATACATAACACCTAAATCTTTACTTGCAAGATAAGTTTAGGAAAACCATCTTAAAGGACAAAACTGTATTTTACCACCCATTCTTTCAATGAAACTGTTCCTAAGGAAGCTTTCTTCAAAGAACTTGGGCTAATTGTTATGCTGACTTTTTGAAATTAAAATTTAAGTACACAATTTTGAAAACACTAAAGATGACAAGCTTCCAAGCTACCTTGATACCACTTTGATACATTCAGGAGAAAACTGTGCTTGCTATCACCATACACCTGACTGGCACTATGGTTCAAAGAACACTTACAACCTTCTTAGTTGATTTTTAGAGGGGAAAAAAAAATCCATGAAGTTAAGTAGGGCAGGTAGTGGTAACATCTTTATCATCCCATTAGAGAGGAGACAAAACTGAACTTCCCACAGGGTTGACCTGTCCAGGGTCACAGAGTTCAGAAATGGTGAAGCTGAGACCAGAAAATCCAGTCTTCTGACTCCCAGTCAGATACCTTTTCCTTTGTGCGACCCTGCTCCCCATTCTAGAAACCTGGAGGCAAAAACTTAGAATGCAAAATGTGTATCAGGAGGAAGTTTCCACTAACTCTTCTGCAGCTTTTTCATTGAAAGTATGCTTATTTTGAATGTCTTATTGTGAATCCCTATCCTTATCTAACTGTAGCCACAATTTGGCTAAAAGCATGTTTTTAATAATCTTAGACATACAGCGAGTCTTCAGTGACTTGCAACCTGTCAACTTCCAGACATGTTAAATAACCTTTGAAACTTAGCCTTTAGAGCTTAGAGCTAAAAGGCACTGTGAAAACATTAAACAATACTGGAAAACCCCCTTTTAAGCAATTTTGAGGCCAAATTAGTGCATGTGTCACTGGATGTTCTTCTACAAAGCACTGATGAAAACCCTCATTCTTTGAGCTCTGTAGGTAGCTATTTATAAGTGATCAAAAATAATTAACACCATTAACTCCATGTTTATTTTCTACAGAGATAAGAGAGCTGGAACATATCTGTCCATGGAACAATACTGTTGCGTGATCACAGTGCAAAGCATTAAATCAGAATCTACCTCAAGGCATATGGGCGTTGCAGTATGCACCCAACAAAGGACAAAGTTCTGATTCCCCTGATACAGAGGCCTAAGTGTAAATACTTATCTTCACTTTCTCCTTGGAGAAGCCAACATTTCCTTGTAATCTATGAAGCCTAAAAGAGTCAGTGAGATTTTCAGAGACAACATTCCTTCAGGGCTCACACCCATGAGTGAAAAAGGAGACTGCTGTCATAAACCTGCTCTTCAGCTTAGTGAACAATGGACTTCAATCCAACATGCTATGGGCATGTAGGAATATATAATTACACATTAATTAATAATAATAGTGATAATTATAATCATTGGGGGGGTAGGGTTGGGAAAAAGATCTGAGGACACTCTGGGGAAAAGGAAGTTGGTTTAAGTCTCTGCAGCTCCCCAACATCCATGCCAGAGAGATGAGAAATTTTGAAATAATCTGTAATTTTCCAAGAGATTTCCTGGGAGGCTCTGAGGAAGAAAAAGAAACACGTGCCTCCCTAGTGCCTTGACGGTGGCTGCGGGAGCAACTTTTTCTCAGTTCTTCTACTGACAACACACAGGTTGATTCTTCTCCCATTACCTTAGTACTAACAAGGCTGCAAATGAGTTATTAAAAATATAGTACCCAAAGCTCATCTCTAAGAGAAGGGGCACAAATAGACTAAGCCTGACTCTTACCTTTTGGCTTCCTCCAGGTGACACAAATATTCATAAGCGATATTCTGCCGCCTCCTCTCATCCATCTCCTCTGCAGAGAGTCTTTCATCATCCACAATAGCTAGAAAGAGAGGATAACATCAAATCACTTGGAAGAACAGTGTTCAAAGCAGGAGACAACCAACTAGAAAAAACTCACATGCAGCTCAACACTGAACACTGAGAGATGGGAGTACTGAAACATCAATCACAGAAAAAGACTGCCTTTGGATTTTACAGTGTTATATTATTTCTAGCAAAAACTGCAATACTGAAGTATCAGTCAGTTCAGCTGCTCAGTCATGTCCAACTCATTGCGACTCCATGGACTGCAGCACGCCAGGCTTCTCTGTCCATCACCAACTCCTGGAGCTCACTCAAACTCATGTGCATCGAGTCGGTGACGCCATTCAACCATCTCATCCTCTGCCATCCCCTTCTCCTCCTGCCTTCTGAAGTATACATGGACATTAAATAACAGAAAGAGAATAGCAATCAGACTTCACAGATGGGATGTCACAGGATTTAGACAGCCTCAAATCAACGAAAGGATGGTCTACCAGCATTAACTTTCCTCAATAAGCTTGGAGAACTGGTCCAGTAGCTCAGAGAATCAGACTGGCCTGGAAATTCTGGGGTGGAACAAAGAATCTACAAGGACCTGTGTTTTCCCAATCCTAGAGGGGATTGAGGCATCTCATTCAACCCCAATCCTATTTTACAGATGACAAAGTCACTAACATTCCTCCCTTGCTTATCTCTCAGCCTTTACGAGGCTAACTTTCATGGTCAACAGGTATCCTAAAGAAAAATGCAGTGGAGACAGCCAGGGAGCAGTCTTCAGGCCCACACCCTTTATTCCAACACGAGCCTAGTTTATTAACTGCCACACTTCAGCCCTGCTCTTCTGTACAGGACTCAGCCTCCCCGCTTCCTGACTGCACTTCCTCCGCCTGCGGCCTCAGAAGTACCCAGCAGCCGCCAACAGTCACATCAGCCGAGTCTTGGCTGCCTATTTACAGGACAACACTCCTCTCTCATAAAAGGAGCCCCTTCCCCCTCTTCGGTGCTGAGCGTCCATTCTGATGGTTGTAAAATGAATCAGGTTTCTCGCTGGTTAGATTTCTCATCCAATGAAGACAACGTGTGTCAGCAGCATGAGGGGAGGACCGTCCGAGTTTGCTCTTTGGTTCCCCAGTAGCCAGCTCCAATCAGCCATTTATTAAGCGGGATCCCTGGGCTCCCCTTGCGGTTTAGCTGGTAAAGAATCCTCCTGCAATGCGGGAGACCTGGGTTCGATCCCTGGGTTAGGAAGATCCTCTGGAGAAAGGACAGGCTATCCACTCCAGTATTCTAGCCTGGAGAATTCCATGGACTGTATACTCCATGGGGTTGCAAAGAGTTGGACACAACTGAGTGACCTTGACTTCACTTCACTCCCAAGCAGAAGAGAGGATATGAAGGTCACTCATCCTTTCCCCAAGAAAGGCCAAGCACACACCCTACGAATGAGGCAGCTGAAACATCAGTCTGGCAGGTAAAAGGAATTAAGAGCAAGCTTTGAACTCTTATTGGGCAGGTATAATGCCCAGCACTCTAGATCTAAAGATAATAACCAAACCCTCAAAGAAGTCAAAAGAAAGGGGAGATTATGTCCTCATCAATATATAGATAGGTTATGTATAAACATATATAAGACAGAATACCATAAGCATGGGAATATGGACTAGATGTTTACTTACTGAGCACTTCATTTCCTTCAAGGCTTAGGCAGAATTTAGTATGCAGTGTCTCATTTAAGTCTCAGGCCTCTCTCTGAGGCAGGTATGTAATCTACTGCACTTTACCTTTGAGCAAACAGCCTGAGAGGCCATTTGCCCAAATGAAGAGCAGAGACATTAGAGCTAGAAATTTTAGTCTGGGAGGGAAAAAAGCAAGTACAGAACTTCAGGAAATGTCTTTGTTTATGGGTGAGGAAGAAGAGGCAACTAAAGAGCTTCCTGATGAGGGTAAAAGAATAGAGTGAAAAAGCTGGCTTAAAACTCAACCATCTCCAAACTAAGAGCTTGGCATCCAGTCCCAACACTTCATGGCAAATAGAAAAGGGAAAAGTGGAAGCAGTGCAGATTTTATTTTCTTGGGCTCCAAAATCACTGGTGACGGTGACTGCAGGCATGAAATTAAAAGACACTTGCTCTTTGGAATGAAAGTTATGATGAGCCAAAGGTCTGTATAGTCAAAGCTATGGTTTTTCCAGTAGTCAGGTACAAATGTCAGAGCTGGACCATAAAGAAGGCTGAGCACGCAAGAAATGATGCTTTCATATTGTGATGTTGGAGAAGACTCGGGAGTCCCTTGAGCATTGAGGAGATCAAACCAACCAATCCTAAAGGAAATCAACCCTGAATATTCACTGGAAGGACTGATACTTTGGCAACCTGATGTGAAGAGACGACACATTGGAAAAGCCCCCGATGCTGGGAAAGATTGAAGGCAAAAGGAGAAGGGGACGGCAGAGGGTGAGATGGTTGGATGGCATCACTGACTCAATGCACATGAGTTTGAACAAACTTCAGGAGACAGTGAAGAACAGGGAAGCCTGGGGTGCTGCAGTCCATGGGGTTGCAAAGAGTCAGACATGACTTAGCGACTGAACACAACAACGTCCCTCCCTCACCCATTCTCACTGTTATCAGAAGCCCCTTCCTAACACATAGCCCTGCTGATGCTATTCTTTCTCTCCAAACCTTCGATGGATCTTCATTTCCTACAGAACAAAGCTCTGGAAGAGAACATGTTTTCTCTCCTCCCCTACATGAACGACTACCTTCTAGCGAAGCTTCACAAAGTGGGATAACCATCATCTCGTAATGAATATACTTTGAAATTATGATTTCCTCATTAGGGGTCACCTTAGAGGATACCTCGCATGCCCGCATAGTATCATCTAGTCCTCTCTCTTCACTGTTCCTAAGAGTTAATTCCCAGGACACCCCATGTCTACTAGTTTCTTATTTTAATTTCAGTCTAAAGAATGCCTCCCACTTCTGACAGGATATTTTCATGTTCTGGTACCTTCACACATGTTAAAAGCTTGAAAGCAATAGAAAACTCCTAGTCAGAGTCCACCTGCTCATTTTACCCTCCTCAGGGGGTAAAGGTGGGGTCACCGTCAAAAGGAGGCACTCTGCCACCTTCCTTCTTGGCTGCTCCTTCCTTCCAGCCTCAGCCAGCCCACCCAGGAGGAGGTGAGAAGCACCAGCAGGACTGTGCTCAGACCTTTGCCCCCCAACTGCCCCCATAAGCCAGGCAAGATCCCACCAGCCCAGAGCCACAGCGGGGCTCTCAAACTCAAGGTCACTGCCCAAAGAGAAGATGTGACTTAAAATTTGAATTAAAAGCTTTACCTTGCTACTGCAATGTACTGGCCATAGCTGATGGAATTCTACCTTCTTTAAGGTTTAACTCTAGAATCACGTCCTTCCCAAAGTCTCCCCTGATCGATTCTATTCACAACGTCCTCTCTTCTGGTAGGGAAACTGAGCAGGACCCTGTGGGGCCCTCCTGGGGACAAATCCTTTACATGTGCCTTGTTTCTTGTTTGCAGGGAAAAGGTTGCAGCCTCCTAGACCTTCCTTCCCTGAGTACCAAAGGACAGATTCCAACAGTCACTGATCACGGAAGGGAGGAGAAGCAGAAAAAAAAAAAAAAAGGAGCAGCTGAGAAACAATAATGCATCTATGGGGCAGGATCCTGGTTTCTCTTCAAGGAATATGCTTAACAATGTATTTGAGTTCTTCTGCAGAACTAAGGCCCGCACCCAAGAGGAGGATGCTAACTCCAGGCAGAGAACAAGATTCCTGAAGCACTGTCCTAGTAGCTCATCAACAATCAATCAGAAGAAAGCCACAGACCCCTCAGCCCTCACCCCAAATTCTGCCCATAAAAACTGCCCCCTGAAAACCATGAGACAGTGTCAGGGTTCTGAGCATGAGCCACCCGCGCTCCTTGCGTGGCCCTCCCTCTGCTCCGAACGCTCAGGGTTTGGTTTGTTTGGCCTTGCTGTGTGTCTCCCGCGTGCACACGAACCCGTATTCCGTACCAGCACCTCCTCTACTGCTTTGTTTAACAGTAAATCCGAGAAGACAGACGTGTGTCCTCAAGGTGTCAGCACGCCTCCCTGCAGAGGCCGCACACTCCATACAAGTCTCTGATGAACAAACCATCTTTTCAGGAAAGACTAATCAACGGACTTAAAAATATCTACCTGGGGTACTCTTATTTGTCCATTTACATTGAATAAAGGATGTGGTCACTGATGAAGGAAATACAGCACCGTTCTATAGACTTCACTCAACTCACATTCAATTCATAGATTCTATGGGCCAAGCAAGAGTCAGAGCACCAGAGACAGGGCAGTGAACAAAGCAAAAAGTGCACGTCCTCATGGGACTTTTTACACATTCCTTCCTTCCCTCCTAACCTGGCCCACTGGCCCATGTCCCTGGCCACTCCCCTCCCAACCACACACACTTCACCTTCACCTTCCTTCCTTCATGACCTATGGTGTCAAAGTGAATACCAAGGTTATGAGTGTGAGAATGTCTTAATTACAACAAAAGCAGATCTCTCTGGGCCACAAAGGTTGCCTGTAAATATTTCTGCATTACTCAACATTTACTAAGTAGCCACTTCTGATAAGAGACACAGGCATGGATACTAACCCTGCCATTTAAAGAGCCTTCACAGAGCTGATAAGATACACTTAAGCATGACACTACTGCCTATAAAGCACTTTTCCATATTACTCTGCGGTTTTCATCATCTCCCTGAAAGATAGGCGTTATCTCTTTCTTACAATTGTGAACAGGGTCAAGCCAGGGGAAGGGACTTCCATGGTTACTGCTGGGTCAGTGGCGGAGCCGGGGCTGCAGCTGAGGGCCCTCAGTACCTTGGCCCTGCTCTCTACTCAGCGCCACGCTGCTGCTGCTGAAGTTGAAAGAGCCTTGTCACCGTCAAGCCCAAGGGAAGATCACTAAAATGCCTTCAAAGCACGTTTAAATTGAGAATTCCTCTAAAGTT